AGATAAGATAAGATAAGATAAGATAAGATAAGATAAGATACGTTAAGATAAGATAAGATGCGATAAGATAAGATAAGATAAGATAAGATAAGATAGGTTAAGATAAGACAAGATAAGATAAGATAAGACTTTACTGATCCCACAGTGGGGTAATTTGAACATTACAGCAGCTCAGACAGTAGAGTTACAGTAACAGGCTGCCTGTCATGGCGCCAACTTAGAAACAAAGAAAAACTGTAAAACACCCAAGGGAAGATGAGGGAAAAAGCAAAAACATCATATTATATCAACATTTAAAAGTATACGTAATACACTTAAAATTGTGCTTTTGTGCAACTTAAATACAACTAAAGTATATTTAGTWTTAAATTAGTTGTTCCAAAATATCACTCTTTAAGTATAATGATGATTAGTGTGGCTTCAAGTATACTTAGATTTAGTATATTTAGTATAATATTTGTCACCTGGGTATTTTAAACATAAAAYGAACGTATTTTTGCCTGATGAGCTTCATGTGACACAATCTAAAGTGATTATTGCAGCATCATTTTATAAGTAAGGGAGCTGTTCTGTTAACTGTTTTCTACTGACTAAGTGTGACTAAGTTTCAGATCCAGTAAAAACAAAATAATTATATTTCTGCTTAATAATGGTTTCATTCCTGGTAATGCACTAAACACTAAAACATTTCACCTTTTGTGTGAATTATATAGTTTTAAAAGAAGAGGATTTATATATAAATAAGTAAAAAACGTGATGTGATTGTGTGTCAGTGTGTTTTTACCATGAAGACTGGAGCCAGGAGCAGCTGAAGGAYAATCAGAGACAGAAACATCTAGAAAAAGAAAATACAATCAGAGTTACTGAGACAGCCCAGAAAACAAGACGWCATGTGAGTTCCTGAACACATTAATTCCAGAGGCAGCAGCCTGTCGCCCTGCAGCGTTTCCTCAAATCTTTCCAGGATTAGGAATCAGTTTGTGCTTCACATCCTGCAGCTCTGATCATCAGGACTATAAACAACTTTCTGTCAGGATGTTTTTACAGCCTGGTGTCCGGTCCTGGTCCTGGACGAGCACCATCCTGCATGTTTGACTTGTTCCTCTGCTCCAACACGTCTGGTTCAGTGACTGAATTACTTTAAATTACTCATTTATTATGTAGAAGTAAAGTATATAAGAAAATTTATTTATCAAAAATATACTCAGAGTTGCTTTCACTCATTCATTCATGTTTTAGGAATCCCTGAATCTCCAGTTGTTGCCATGTGGAGCTGAAAACTTGCTGGTACAAAGCTCCGCCTCTTTAAACAAACTCCTCCCTGGAGCTCAGTCTTGAGCTGAGGTCCTGCCCAACAGAGCACCCCTCCCAGAAGAAATGTTGTGAMGACGTGCTGAAGTGGGAGTGTTAGAAACGGCAGGAGGTTCTTAAAGAGACAGAGACCAATTTCAAGGCGTTTAGAAAGTCAAATTTATTTTTGATGAATGCACAGATTTTTATAACAACTAAAAGGTAACAGTAGCTGTGTTTCCATTACAAATGTGCGCAAAACTTTGTCGATATTCTGTTAATGTTGAAAAAACACAGCTTCGCAACTGTGAATACGTTTGTTCTCATGATGTCATTACAAACATGGCAGCGATGGATGTAAACACATAGGCTGTGTCTCAATTCATGAGGACCCAGCCTAGCTGGGCCACGTAGGCCACATCCTTGCTGGGCCAGGTAGGCTGCTCAAAACTGCTGTGAAATGAGACGGTCCAGCCTTCGCCTGACGTCGGCTTCACGTGGGTTTGTGTGACCACGTGCTCCACCGTTACCATAGTGTAACGGGGACCTACARTTAAAATAAATTCTTCCCTTAATAAATTTAACTTCACAGTTAAAAAGGTAAACGTAAATAAATTAAGAAAACATTAATAATTTGGGTTTAGCTCCAGCGGAGTAGTAGGGCCACACATTTTTTTTATTATGACGAAAATAAAGTCATAATATTTTGAGAATAAAGTCACAATATTAGGATAATAAAGTCATAATGCAGATGTTATACATATGATTTTATTCTTCTTTCTGTTCCTTTTCATTTGAAAATGTTGTGATCGTGGTTTTTGACACAACGTTGTCTAATTTTTTGTTTGTTTCTATTATTATTTATTTAAATTTTTATTTTTTGTTATTTGTTTGCTGAATGAAATAAAGTTATTTTTCCCCTCATACCTTCTGTGTACAGC